ATGCACAAACGGGTTGAAGTCGTCTCGCCACAAGGCGCTGGTGCATACCAGCACGTGTAGATAGACTCCACAAGTCGTCAAAGCCCCACTGACAGGCGATTGTCTGACCGTCTCGCTCGGAGCCCCTACACACGACACGGAGCATAACCCGGGCCTGCCAGACCGGTAGGAGGGGGGCGGGGGCGGGGGCGGGTCCAGGCTGCGAAGACAGCGGAGGAAATCGGTTCTATTGGCGCTAAGGTTTGGTCACTACGTTCGTCTCATCCAATCCAAGCAAAACCCAACCAAATCCAATCCAATCCAATCTAATCCAATCCGTTCCAAGTCAATAGAATCGAATCGAATAGAATAGAATCGAATTGAGTCCAAATCAATCCAAGATAAGCCACTCGAATCGAATCCAATCTAATCTAAACCAAATCAATCCAATCAGCGCCACTCGACTCCAATCCAATCCACCCATTCAAATCTAATATAATATTTCCCCCCAATCCAATATAATCCGATACGCTCTAACTCAATCTAAACCAATCAAATATAATCCAATATAGTTCAGTTCAGTCTAAAATCCCAATCAAAATAAATCCAGTCCGGTCTAGTCGAGTGATGATTCGAGCGGCGCAAATGGCTCTATTGGCGCTAAAGTTTGGTCACTACGTTCGACTCATCCAATCCAAGCAAAACCCAACCAAATCCAACCTATTCCAACAAAATCCAATATAACACAATACAGTCCAAACAAATCCAATCCAATCCAATCTAATCCAATCCGTTCCAAGTCAATCGAATCGAATCAAATCTAGTCCAAATCAATCCAAGATAAGCCACTCGAATCCAATCTAATCTAAACCAAATCAATCCAATCAGCGCCACTCGAATCCAATCCAATCTAATCCACCCATTCAAATCTAATCAAATCGAATATAATATTTTCCCCCAAATCCAATATAATCCGATACGCTCAAATGCAATCTAATCCAATATAGTTCAGTTCAGTTTAAAATCCCAATCAAAATAAATCTAGTTCGAGCGGCGCGAATGGCGAGAGAGAGACTAACAGAAGTCCGGCAAACGGAGGAGAGAGGGGGGGGAGGGAGAGAGAATGGAGAGGGCGGAAATGCGCCACCGAAAATTATTCTCAAAGCTTATTCATGCGTCTTTGTTCGACGTAGTCCGGCCTGCAACTGGTCAGATATGCACACATGCTCACACTACGATGCCCATGTCTGGGCACTTGTGCTCTTTTAAGTTTGTACATTGTTTGTGCGCAGAGCATTGTTTGTGTTTGCACCTGCAGACCGGACTTTAAGGGGCCATCTTGGTCCGTTTGACTGTGTGCGGAGAGGGCCACTGAAAAAAGCGTGGTCGGCCCGATGGGCAGGCGACTTGGCGCGCCAGGCAGGCCCGAGGCGGGCTCGACCAGTTGGCGCGACGTCGGCCCGAGGGACCCAGGCGCGGGCGACTGCAAGCCGGCTGTCGGTGTGCCGATGCGTTCGGTCCTGGTGCGTCAAAGTGGCTGGGCGAGTGCCGACGTGTGATTGGCTGTCTCGTCGCGTGTGTACGCGCGTGCGCGCTCGCCTGCGTGCTCCACTGGGCCTCCTCTCCTGTCCGCCGCCTGTCCACCGCCTGTCCACCGCCTGTCCGCCTGACTGTCCGCCTGACTGTCTGCCTGTCTGGATGCGCGCGGGCTGAGTGCATGGCTTGAGCATGTCCCGGGCAGGACAGGCGGCCGATCGGGTCGAGTTGGCGGAGAGGAGCGGCAGAGAGAATGCGGCCAAGGGCCGACAGGCTTCAGTCGAAAGACCGGACCTGCCCGCGCCGGCGGCACGACGGCCTTGCAGACAGCGCGGCCGGCTTCGGCGCCAGATTGCGGCGCGCCGGCTCGGCCGCAGTCAGGCCTCCTCCTCGTGCGGTCGACATTCTATTCTGACCCGACGCGGCTGCACACTACTCGCAGTCTACTCACATGAGCAAGCTGCCCAGTCGTTCGACAACCGGTTCAACTCCAAGCGCACAAAGTAGCCCATCTGTTAGTGCACTTGACACGACTTTCGACTCTGCCGATATTTCTTTGGTTATCTAGCAATATGACCGACAGCCTCACATCGTCATATGGCTGGGTTACCATTGCTATCTCGGCCGAATGAACATCCCTAGCCCGGACGTCTTCCGGGGGCAGAGGAGTCGGGATCTTCGAAGTCCTTCACGCAATTGATCTAATAATTATTTACTTAATTATTGTCTTCATGATGATCATTTTACTATTTTAAGCAATTCGTTATGTGCATTCTGTTATTATTTTTCTAGTTGGACGAATTAATTATTTGATGATTAGCACTACTTGCCCATCATTTTATTAAAGTTGTACGAGGCAATGTGTGCTGCAGTCGAGAAGACCGCCAAGGAAATAGGCGGACACGGCATAATTCCTGTTGCTGTGGCTGTAATTTCCTTCTCGAAGGCTGGTTGGAAGGGATTTGTGAAGTGGCCTTTTCGGAAGGCCTCAGAAGGTCGTCGGTAGGCAGTCCTTCGCGATTGTCATGAAGCCTTCTGTACCGTCTTGTTGGCAATTCTTTCAACTCAACTTTGGTAGATTCAAATGCGAAGCTGCTTTCGAGTGTCATTGTTGAGCTGTCCTTGTATTCGCATGATGGCATGTGACAAAAGCCGTCTGGGTAGACGACTAAGCGTCCCTCTTTGTTCAGCTGTTTGACGTGCGGAGGCTGCGCAGTCCTCTTCAGTGTCTGTGAGAACACCAGCAGCACGAGCTCATTGTCACATCGAATTGTCGCTTACAACAGTTTAGTGCATGGATGTATTATTTCATCCTTTTCAATTGATATACACTTTTTCCCCTTTTGTTGACATTTTGTCATAAGTTCTCGGGCACTTTCATCAGTTGTGAAGGCAATAATTACGAGATTTACTTGTCTTTTCATTATGACAACTGTATTATTAGTTTTCGCAAGTTATTAAGTAGAGTGTTTATTAAATATGTATTTATTGTGCGAGTGAGATAATATAAATACCTACGTGGAGTGTACTGATGAATAGTTGTATGCCAACTAGTAGTAAAGTAAATAGAGTTTTTTGGTAGTTCGATGTCTGGTATAGCCTCAGTTTTAGACGAAATAACACTTTCGAGGAGGCCAATAACCGATTGTTCATGTGGCCGAATTCCCCATTTCGACAAAAGAGATGAAGGAAACGGATTTTCACGTCGGCAACCGCCTATTTGCGCGGCTAAATCCGGGGCGAACCCTTTTATACCCTCGAGCCAAACGTGCTTGCTGAGC